GGCAGGGCACAGGGTGGAGCTGCAGGGTGCTCATCCAGGGGAGGGAGCAGCTCCCCAACCCTGCATACACCGTTTGGGGTAACATGTGCCTCCTGCATTTGTGTGCTGGGTGAAGGCAGGCTGCGAGGTCAGGGCCAAGGGCTGTGCGGGCCACTTCCCAGCAGGAGGACTGGGCTGGGGCTGCGGTCAGGGCAGGAGAGGGTGGGGGTAGTGGCAGGATGGGCTCAGCTGCACAGCGTGGGCAGCAGCATTGGGAGGGGTCGTGTTGGGGCCAGGAGGCTATGGTCACCCCAAAGTTCCCCATCGCCACCCCTCCTGCCACCACTGTTGCCCACCTTGCGCAACTGAGCCTGCCCTGAGCAAAGCCCTGGCTCAGCCTCCTGCCAGGAAGAGGTCGGGGCAGCCCCTGGCCCTGAGCCAGCAGCAGGCAGCCCGCCCTCACCTTGAACACAAATCTGTGGGGCACAGGCCTCACATACTTCCCCCAGGGGTGCATGCAGCAACAGGGAGCTGCCCCTCCAGTGCCCCCCAGCAAGCCACCCGTGGCCCTGCCCTGTGCCCCACCCTGCCCCAGCCCCACTCCCTCCCTCACTGTGGGGGGCCTTGTTCTGTCCCCCCGCCACACACGCACCCCTTCCCCGCTACAGGCTTAGGAGCCAGATGCTGCTCTCTATGCTGCCTGGCTGCATTCCTGACCGCATGCAGGCTGCAGCTGCGCACATGCCCACAGCATTTATCGGTGACGTTATCAGATACACCAGCCAGAAAAGCCGGTGCAGAGTTGCCAATAATGTAAATTTTCCTTTTATTGGTGCTGATCTTATATGGACTGATATATTGGCGCACCTCTAATCTTAACGTATCCTAGCTGAAATTGTGCCTGTGTGCAGCACCAGTAGAACATTGTTTTCTTTGCCTTTCCTGTTGATCTGCACAAATCCTGCTTTTCTCTGTTTATGAATCCAAAAGTCTGATTAAAAAAAAATCCAAATTCTCTCATTAAATACCCAAAATCCGCATTTCTTCCACTGTGTGTGTTTGTCAGTTGAAAACAGTGTTTCATTGATATATTTACAATTTTAAAGCAATTTGGAAGCCTACCAATGCCTCAGTCATTATTATAACAAAATAAATTATAAATACCTGTATATTAGGGCTTCTGATTTTGGTTTTTTTATCATGGAAAATCATGGCTCCCACTGCCAAGATGTGGGTCCAACTGAGGCTATCCTGTCTCCCTCCCCACCCTCTGCTTTGATGCTAAGCTTCCCCTGCCCATCCTGTTGCCCCTCACTCCCAACCCACAGAACCCAACCCCCCAAATCCTGCTGGTGACCCTCACTCCCGACCTCCAGCTCCCTGGTCCTGTCGGTGTCCCTCACTCCCAATCCACTGCCCCCAGCTCCCAAGTGTGAGAATAAAGGAGGGGTTGTGGTGAAGAGGGTTGTGAGCACAGGCAACGTGGTGGGGTGGGGGACCACAGGTGATGTGGGAGGGGCATGTGCCCCCTCCAGACTTTTTGCCCACAGCTGCCAGGACCAGCTCCAGGCACAAGCTGCCTCCATGGCATGACTAGGCGTAGGAGGGAGTGCTGCGCTGCCATCGCCACCAAGGTGAGGCAGGGCAGCGTGAAGTTGTGCACCCCACTGCTGCCAGGTGGTCAGGGGATGGCTCACCCTGGTGGCGTGGCACTCCCTCCCATGCCAGGTCCTGACCATTGGGCTATGGAGGCAGCTTCTGCCTAGAGCTGGTCCAGCCAGGCTGCAGCCCTATATCCTGCTGTGGGTTCAGAAATCTGGGGGCACACATCCCTCCCCATGCATTGCCTATATCCACCCCACTCCCCCAAACTTATCTAGAGGGAGCTGCTCTCCCTGGCTGCCACATGCCTCTGCACACGCATGTGGCACCCCCTGCCCCCTGTGTCCTAGCCCTGTGCAGGCTGGAGCTCAGCCAGCCTGCAAAAGGAAACCTGCAGTTTCCCAGGTTTTTGTCCTTTAAAGGAGAAAATCCGTGTTTTTTCCACAGCAAATGGAAAACTTGGATCCCGGTGATCTGAATACTAAACCTGAAGTATTTTCTCATAACAGAATTTCCTAAGAGCTGTTGCAGTACAGTAATAGACGGCTACAGTCCTTTCCAATCCCAAGCCCTTGAATCTTGGCAGTTGATTCCAGTGTCCCTGAGAAATACCTATTGTAATGCAGAATCCCTACACATCTTTCCTGGCGTCTCATTCAAGGGCCCAACTCCTCTTTTTAAAGTTGTTAACATTTATCCTAAATTGCCCTGCTGCATCTTCAGCTCATTATGTCTTGTTCTGTCTTGTTGACTAATGAGAATATTTGAACCCTGTCCTCTTCAGACCCTTCTTTTATATATTTGTAGACAGTTTTCCTGTCTCGCCTCAGTCATGTTTTTCTCTAGATTAAACAGCCTGGTTCTTTTAACCTTCTCTTGTAGGTCTTGGTTTCAAAATTTTTGATCATTTTTAATAAGTTTCCTCTGAACAATTTGCCATAATCTCTTTTCAGTGTGCTGCCCCCCAGGCCAATTCTGTTCCCATTGAAAGGGTAACCACAACCAAGTAGAGAAGAATCATTAGCTTTTTTGCATGTTTCATAGTTGGTAGGGTCAGAAGGGACCTGAGCAGATCATTGAATCCGACCCCCTGCCATGGCAGGAAAGAGTACTGGGGTCAAACGACCTCAGCAAGGTGATTGTCTAGCGTTGTCTTAAAGACCCCCAGGGTAGGAGCCAGCACCACTTTACTTGGAAGTTGGTTCCAGATCCTAGCCGCCCTGACAATGAAGTAGCGCCTCCTGATATCTAACCTAAACCTACCTTCT